AGCAGGAGTCAAAGGATTATTAGGAGTTAGTTCCCCTCACATCTGTGTGGTAGACTCGACCAGTGTAATAGTTCGCTTAGATAATCAGCGCGTTTGGGTGCTTATAACTGTGGCCCGCAAGGGGTGAACAGGGTATATGCGACATTGAAACAGTTCTGACTGCCATGCACATGTTCCCTTCAACTACATTGGTTGACTCTTCCAGCCTCACTTTAATTAAGCGTACTTAATCAAAGCTTGTGACTGCTTATGGAGTGGCCCGATGGGGGCGAACAGGCTATTTCTGTGGCAATGAAACGGTTTTGAAGGTCTGTTGTTCATTGGTGATTATGAACGTCTTTTTACATTTAATTTATGAGGTTTACGTCTATGGGTGGATTTGACTGCGACAATGTTTCAAAATTAGGAAGGGAAGCAGTGATTATTTGATTATATAGACGCTTCGCCTCTGCCTCCTTGCGTGCGCAGATCGACTGTGTTCATCAGCGGTTCGGGTTCGTTCAGTGCGGAGTTTTACTAAGTTTTATTTTTTTTATATATTTTAATTACCTTTCGCCTTTCATTCTAAAGTCAAATTAAACGAAGAAAACCATCACCCTTTCCTCTGGAAGAGGTTTTTTGTCAGCGTAACCATTAAAAAAAGCGTTCTTCCGAAATTTATCCCAAAACTTGCTAGTTTCACTTTGATTTTTTAAAACTCAAGTAGGGTAACTCTGTTCGCAAAGAGTGCGCTTTTGTGAAGAGGGCGCCACCAAATTTTGAGGACACTTTTTTAATTGGCTCAAAGAGAGAAGTGGCCCATCTTGTTATGTACTATCATCAAAGATAGTACATAACAAGATGGGCCACTCAGCCAAAAAAGTGTCCTCAGGAAGTGCGCTCTTTGCTTCAGAAGGCGCTGTAGTCTGTTTTGAAGCTCTCTTTCGTTTTACCAGAAGAAGAATAGGAATAGCACCTCCTTGCGTGCGCTGATCGACTGCTGTTCATCAGCAGTTCGGGTTCGTTCAGTGTGGAGTTTTAGGGTTTAAAATTTTTTTTTATGAGCTCTAGCCTTTCATTCTAAAGTCAAATTAAACGAAGAAAACAATCACCGTTTCCTCTGGAAGAGGTTTTTTTTTTGTCAGCATAACCATTTTAAAAAAGCGTTCTTCCGAAATTTATTCAAAAACTTGCTAGTTTCACTTTGATTTTTTAAACTCAAGTAGGGTAACTCTGTTCGCAAAAGGTGCGCTTTTGTGAAGAGGGCGCCACCGAATTTTGAGGACACTTTTTTAATTGGCTCAAAGAGAGAAGTGGCCCCTCTTATTATGTAGACTCTTTGCTATCATCAGAGAAACATACTCTCTGCTATCATTGTTGGCACCTCCTTGTGTGCGCAGATCAACTGCTGTTCATCAGCAGTTCGGGTTCGTTCAGTGTGGAGTTTTAGGGTTTAAAATTTTTTTTTATGAGCTCTAGCCTTTCATTCTAAAGTCAAATTAAACGAAGAAAACAATCACCGTTTCCTCCGGAAGAGGTTTTTTTTTTGTCAGCATAACCATTTTAAAAAAGCGTTCTTCCGAAATTTATTCAAAAACTTGCTAGTTTCACTTTGATTTTTTCAACTCAAGTAGGGTAACTCTGTTCGCAAAAGGTGCACTTTTGCGAAGAGGGCGCCACCGAATTTTGAGGACACTTTTTTAATTGGCTCAAAGAGAGAAGTGGCCTCTCTTGTTATGTAGACTCTTTGATGAAGCTGTGGGCGAGTTGAGTTATCAATAGCTGATCATGTCTTGTGTATTGTGTACACCTGCACTGCGTGTGTGGATTAATCAATCATTGATAGATCTATCCTTTAATTCGATATAAAATGACAAGTATATACCCTACCCTCTTTGAACTGGAAGTCCCATTCCTTCCTACCTCTCCATAGTGAGCAGTGAGCAGGGAAAATTATAACGCTGTACTTCATGTTAAAGAACACACTTAAGCGCGCACAATGCTCTGAGATACGAATGATCATTTACCAGTTTCGATACCCTACTTTTGTCATTAAAATAATTGAACTTTCCTCACGTAGGGCTGTGACGTCATGCGGGTCGAACTGCATTGTGTCCAGCAAGACGGGGCTGGCGGACTAGTCTTTCCCCTCAACAAAGGCATACACACAAAAAAAACAACAGTTGATGCTCTCCCCTCAACAAAGGCACAGAGAAAAAGAAACTCACTTTTTAAGCCTTTGATGAGCAGCGTGCACTTTAAACAGAATCTAATATTGAAAATGCTCCAGGGGCTAGACGTAGAAATTTAAGGTTATTCCTGCAAATACCAGACAATGGACTACGCAGACAATATACAATGTATTTATTAGCGTCAGACTGTACAATGAACTTATTTTAAAAATACGAGAAATTATAAAGCCATTCAACGGGACAGGACCTAAAAGAAGAACATGTTTATTAGCTTTTCCTACGCAAGTGGTGATATCTTTGGATGTGAAAGATTTTGATCAATGATCAAGGCATTTTGTGAACATAATTATTAGCCTGCCTTGAAAGATGTTCTGTTTTTTATTTCTGTGGAGGTTTTTTTGGGAAGGGGGGGGGGGGTTGGGGGTTGCTTGCTTGTTCTTTTAGCATTACTAATACGATATGGTACTAATGCCATTCTATGTATGCTGTAGACCCAACTTAAGTTAAGACCAATGTTGTGTGGGCTTTTATATTTTTATATTATGTTAATTAATGTGATCTTTGCTTTCCTTCTTGATAATAGATATAATTCTTTTCAGTCCAGTTCATACAGTTAATGGAATATACATAACATACGTTTTGTGTTACTAATGCATAAATGTATGAGTTGATCCGAATCTAGTTCTTGTAATGGGGCCAACTATGGATCTAGTCACCGCACGCACCCCCATGTATTAGATTAAATCTATAGTACATGTAATTAATTGTGTCACGACCTTGTGTAATCAGACGCTCGTCAATTTTTGGGCTTGTGGAGTTATTGGTATTATCAGAAATTTGATTTATTTGCCTTAATGCTTCCATTGAAATAATTTTAACTATCTATTTATCTTGAATACAACTCCATCTGCTTTTGGGGGATGTGTGGTCGCCTGGTTTCAGTGGTGAAACTAGTGAGAAAATGGCCGCCAAAGTTTGGTAACTCCAATACCTTAAGAGTCTTTGAAAACTGAAAAAAGACATATTTTGAGCCTTATGTTTTTCAGTAAAATTCACATGGAAATGTGTTGTTGTATA